CGTATTGCTAACTAACAAAACAAATCAATAAACTATAAAAAATCAACAAAACTAAATTATAAACTTTAAATAAACAAATCGATAAACAACAAACAAAAACAAATCAATAAATAAAAAATAAACAAATAAATTAATAAACATAACAGAATGAAATCAATTAACACTAAGTACCACAATAAAAACAAAACACTAATAAACAAACAAATCAATCAAGACCAATAAACAAACACACAAACTAATTATTCATTAAAAACAAAGAAAACACAAAAATACATACACAAACAAGAAAAATCGACAAATAAACAAAGAATTTCCTACAATTTCATAACACTATTCTTCCCCATATCTGAAACTCTGCCCCTACCTTCTCCACTCCACTACCTGTCCCTCCACCACTGTCCCCACCACTCCTGCCTCCACCTCTCCCGCCCCCACTCCACGTCCCTCACCACCCATGCAAAACGATGACGTCATCACTGGTACAATTAAGTTTCTGTGCAAAAAATATCGCTGCAAAGTTATCTGGGGAGTCTTGGTGGGGGAGATCTCATGGGGGGAGAGTTCTTGTGGGGAGAGCCCTTGGTGGGGAGAGTCTTGGTGGGAGAGTCTTGGTGGGGAGAGCCTGGTGGGGGAGAGTCCAGGAGAGAGTCTTGGTGGGAGATCTTGGTGGGGAGAGTTTGGTGGGGAGAGTCTGTGGGGAGAGTCTTGAGGGAGAGTCTGCGGGAGAGTCTGTGGGAGAGTCTGTGGGGGAGAGTCTTGGGAGAGCTTTGGGGGGAGAGCCCGGTGGGAGAGTCTTGTGGGGGAGAGTCTTGTGGGGAGAGTCTGGTGGGGGAGAGTCTTGGTGGGAGAGCCCCAGGGAGAAGCCTGGTGGGAGAGTCTTGTGGGAGAGTCTGTGGGAGAGTCTTTGGGGAGAGTCTTGGTGGGGGAGCCTGTGGGGAGAGTCTGTGGGAGAGCCTTGGTGGGGAGAGTTTCAGGAGAGTCTGTGGGAGAGTCTGTGGGGAGAGCAGGGGAGAGTCTTGGTGGGGAGGTCACTGACACCACCCCCCCAGGAGTGAGAGATGGAGGAAGGGGGGAAGGGGGAGAGGGAAAGGAAGGGTTATTTAGCTACCACAGGAGATTGAAGGGGTGAGGAGGATGAGATGGAGGAGATGAATGAAGAGGAGTAGGAAGAAATAGGATGAGGAAGAAGGAAGAAGAGGAAGAAGAGGAGAAAGAGAAGGAGGAGGAGCAGATAGAGAGGGGGGGATAGGAGAAGAGGAGGAGGAGAGGAGGAAGAGAACGAGATGGAGGAGGAGGATGAAGAGAAGAATGAAGAGGAGGAAGAAGAAGAAGAAGAAAAGGAGGAGGAGGAAGAGAAGAGAGGAAGAACAAAAAGAAGAGGAGGAAGAAGAAGAAAAGGAGGAAGAAGAAGAGGAGGATCACTATATAATAACCTCTCGCCTCAGGATAAATAAGAGAATATACATAGTAATTATTTTTCTCCCTATCTCAATAAACCCTTAAAATAAACCTTTCTTAACTAAACAAAAGTCAGTAAAACGAAATGAAACTTTTATTCTTAATATTGTCAATAAAGTCTTTAACCCCTGTACTGTGTTAAGAGATCCCAAATTGCCCATAGCTATTTTTACATTAGCTTAATCTTACAGTGTGTTACAGGAGAGATGACCTTCATGACTCTCTAATAATATCATGGTAAGATATGGTACAAATTGCTATCAGAAATACGATAGTTTTTTGCAATAGTAAAACAAGTATTTCGAGTAATGTTTGACCTTTAGGCCCAATCAGCCAGACACTAGTTATGGCTCAAATTTGTGCAAAACCCTAATGAATAGACAAGTTCTTTTCGTGTTTGGCACAGTAATATATTTTTATTAGTAACTGTTTTCAATATCGAGAGCTCAGTCAGTGATGAATATAATAAGTGGATGTTTATATATTTTAGTATTAAGAGAACTGAATCTTTTTATTAACTATCTAAATAAAAGAAACATTCAGAAAAAAGTTGTTTTTTCTATATCTTTAAATAAACCAAATATTTTTCCTAACTGATAATTACTTTTCTTTCTTGGTAAATAAAATAAAAAGTATATTAAACCGTCACTATTACCATCTTTTAAAATATTCGTCTAATCTTTTATATTTTGAAATAAAAAAATTCTCAAATCAAATAAATGTTGATGATGACTAAAACACAAATGAATAAATAAAAGAATTAAATAATTTATATCAACTCATATCTTTAGAACAACAACAACAACAACAACAAAAAAAATAATAATAATATAATAGTAATAATAACACAATAATAACAATAATAATAAATAATCATTAATAATAATAATAATATAATAAATAACAACAATAATAATAATAATAATAATAATAATAATAATAATAATAATAATAATAATAAAATTCCTTTAACTTGTTCAATTAATTAACTTTTATCTGACAATAAATAAATATATAAAATAATAAAACAAATCCATTATTACATCGTCTTCAGTTTAAAAGCACAAACAAATATAATTTTCTTAGATTTTAAACAAAACAATTATATGTGTCAGGAGCTTTTTCATCTTCCAAACACAAACAAAGAAAAACACAATGAAAATATTAGAGACAAACAAACACATTGAGCACAAACAAACACGTTGAACACAAACAAATACATTGAGCACAAACAAATAGATTGAAAATTAACAAACACATTGAGCACAAACAAACACGTTGAATACAAACAAACACGATAGTCACAAAATGAAACACAATAAAACACCTTGAACACATTACAAAACGAACAAAAACATAATAAAAACACCAACAAAACAAACTACATAACAGTAACAACAACACTGTGTCCAGGCCTCCAGCACAAAACACAAACAACATCCGGCCGTGCCTAATAAACAAGAAAAAATAAACACACTTTACCGGGAAATTAATAGGTACCAGAACCAATTTCACCAGAAATTTGACCACAAGGAGGAGCAATAACAGGCTGGAGGAAGAACCCACACTTTTGATCCAATATACTTAATAATGTATAGTAATGAGGGGATTATCACACACACACACACACACACAAATAATTCTAATACGGATAATCATCATCTTATTTCAGTTATTCCTGTTTGTTTACACATCTCTTGCCGTTGATAGATAGATGAGAGAGAGAGAGAGAGAGAGAGAGAGAGAGAGAGAGCCTCAACCCGCAACAAATCTCTCCTACCACACTTCAACCCCCCCGCTTTCTTTTATTTCCACCTCCTTTACCTACGCCTTCTACCAACTCCCCCACCACCAACTGCTCTTCCTGCACCTAACCTCCTAACCCCAGCCCCCCCACCCGGCCCATACCCCCATCCCAAACCTATAAAAACCTCATCTAACCCCCACAACCCCTTCTCCTCAACCCCCACCCTCTCCTCAACACCACTGAGCGAGATAAGAGGAGGCAGTGTTATCCTAACAGAGGCTGAGTGGCATACAGATCAGCCTTCATCCCCATCCACCCCACCTCTCCCCATCCACCCCCTCCCCATCCACCCTCCCCACCCCATCCACCCCATCCACCCCACCTCTCCCATCCAACCCCCATCCACCCTACCTCCCATCCACCCTCCCCACCTCCCCATCCACCCCACCCTCTCCATCCACCCCTACCTCTCCCCATCCACCCCATCCCCATCCACCCCACCCTCTCTCCATCCACCCTACCCCATCCACCCCACCTCCCATCCACCCCACCTCCCACCCACCCCACCTCTCCCCATCCACCCTCTCTCCCCATCCACCCTACCTCCTCTCTCCCCATCCACCCCATCCCCATCCACCCCACTCTCCCCATCCACCTCTCTCACCTCCCATCCCCCTACCCTCTCCCCATCCACACCCCCCCACCTTACACACCCGGCAACACCACCCCACACCTCACACAGCCACACACTTCAACATGATAGCCATACACACCAAGTTCCCTCGCATAGCTAGATCTCCCCACACCGTCTCTCACACACCCTAGAGACTCTATGCTACACAATGGCTGCGTAAATGGCTACACCTTAACACAGCACTGGGTTATGTCTTAATTATAAAGCACGCCATCCACCCTTTACACCACATGGTTTACATAGGTTAGCTAGCCAGACCCACACACACACACACACACACACACACACACACACACACACACACACACACACACACACACACACACACACACACACACCAATGGTATACATTTAAACCTTTCACAGCAGCTGTACACTTCCTCCCCAGGCCAATACACACTTAACATACACATAATCTAAACATACACATACAAATTATACTCATTAGCATACACTCCCAAATAACGCCGCCTTACTATACAACACCACCTTATCTCTTCTCGGGGCTATATGTATATACACACCAGCTAGCTATACACATTAAGCATTCACACACTTAACATAAAACACATATAAACCCACACAACACACTATACACATTAGCATAAAACACAAGTAATACACACACATACCTTAACATACACAACATCCACCTGCCTCTTATAACTTTTTTTGCTCCCCCTGTGGTCAATATACACACACCAGCTATAACACATTAGCATACAAATAGCTTGGTGGGTGAAGGCACAGAGCTCTGGTTAACAATACAGATCTCAGGTTTCTTGGTCGACGTGTTCTCACCACCATCACTCATGATCTTCAGAGGCTCTCAAATAAGTACCATTTCCCTGACCTAGATAGTTGGTAGTTAAAGAGCTATCTAAATTGGGTCCTGTATGAGTTATATACAACATAGATACAGTCTTAATGGTTTCTGTTAATGTCTTCCATCAGGTGATTCTAATTGGTTTCAAGCTTACGGCATTTGAGTGATTCTCAACTATTTTAAGTGATTTATCGTATGTAACGAACACATAGATGGATTTCAATGGATTCTAAGTTACGCCCCCCCAACTAAGAGATAAAAGAACGTTGTCTAATTGGCTCACTTAAATTACGATAAATGCAGTCGATGATTCTCAAAGGATCGTAAATTAAAAACTCGTAACTGGTGAATGTCAGGAGGCATTTAACTGATTAATTTAGACAACAACACAAAGAAGGATTCACTCAAGCATCCTAAATTTAAAGTATTATTCTTTAAATAGTAACTTTAAAAAGATAATGTAATCAAATGGTTTACTCATTTTGAATATATAAACTGCGGCGAAAATGGTGTCAAATTTGCTGTGAGACTCTAGCATAATTACAATACTTTCCAAAGACCAGTTAAGGAGAGAGATATTTGTCCTGAGAATCAGAGAATTTAAAATCGTATTATTATTATTATTATTATTATTATTATTATTATTATTATTATCATCATCGTTAATGTCATTATTATTAATTAGTTCCTTCACCTCTTCTGCCCTTCGTTCCCACTCTCACCCCCAAAGTCTCTCCCCCACCTAGCCCCAAACTCACCCTAACCCACATCCTTTCCATCCCCTCATCACCCGTCCCAAACACCATCCTCTTCCACCTCACATCGTACCCAACCCTCCCTAACTCACCCACCCCCTCCCCTCCTCACCATAGGGACGCGAACTGAATGCAGAACCACGAGCTTAAAGGGTGAAAATATCACAGCTCACGTTGTCAATCTTACACCCACCACCTGCCACCCAACAAAACCACCTGCCAACCATCACCTACCAGCCGCCACACCCACCACCACACCAACCACTTGTCACCCACCCACCTCGTCACCTGACACCCATCTGCCACAAGCCATCTGTCAACAGCTCCTGCCCCACCACCTGACACCAACCACTTGTCACCCACCCACTCGTCACCTGACACCCATCTGCCACAAGCCATCTGTCAACAGCCTCCTGCCACCCACCACCTGACACCAACCACTTGTCACCCACCCACCTCGTCACCTGACACCCATCTGCCACATGCCCTGTCAACAGCCTCTGCCACCCACCATTTGTCACCCACCCACCCCTGTCACCTGGACACACCATCTGCCACAAGCGTCATCTGTCAACAGCCTCCTGCCGCCCACCGTCTGTCACACGCCACCCACCACCCCCCTACATGACCAAACATTTTCATGTACCACCACCAACCATCCCCTAGTACCACTGCCCAACACTATCACCACTCACCACCATCACCTATCCTTCCATCACCCTCCACACCACCTCCACCTCACACCACCTACCTCACCAATAACATTGAACACATTGCCCTGCCAGCCACACACACCACCACCTTGAGTTATTCAAGAAAGCAAACCACAATAGGTCACTCTTAATACCTGCACCTGGGGGCGGGTGGCAAGGGCGGGTGTTTGGCTTGCCTTTACGTCAACTTGCTCCCGTGAAGTGGACTCGTACATTATTCACACACGTATGGGATCTCGTATATGACTTTGACGTGGAGTTTGTTATACACCTGTGTGGTTCCCGTAAGGACGTGTTTAGGCAATAGTCACATGTATAGAAAATGTATAACTACTTACTATAAATTTGTTTGTAAACAACTTGAATTAATGGAATAAAAATATAATATATTTTGTTGACATGGATTTTAGATTTAGTGATCATAAATTAATATATATATTTATTCCATTTTGTGGGATTAGTGTTTAAAATCCACTGATGAAAAGGATTTTGGTGGGAATTATTAAAAATTATCAGTATTTATACTGCTCAAGACCCACCAGCATAATACATATTATTGGATCAGATGACTTGACTTTGAGAATTTATTAAACTGTATTAGATAAAAAAGAAAATCTCACGAGGGTGGTTGTGTTTCCGTTACTCTGGAACTATTTGAACTAAAAAGTTATTTGGAATTATCATAAACTGGAAAATAAAATATACTTGGAATTATTAAAAACATACGCAAAAAAATAATTGAATTATTATAAGCGACGTAAAAAATATACTTTGAATTATAAAACATAGGTAATAAAACTTGGTTATAAACGAAGTAAAAAATACTGAATTAGCAGATAAAGAATCATAAATTCTAACTGTGACCAAATTAAAAACAAACAAAAATAACACCTGGGAATTTAATGGCATTATAAAACCAACCCAATCACTAGACGATTATGACCAATCAATAGTCGATTAGCATTTGTTTTCATCCAAATGTCGCAAGAAATATGTCCGGGTAGATAAATACCTACGACTGACGGAAATTTAAATAATATTAATCTATATATTATGCTACTAATTTGACAGAGGTGCAGTATAATTCAACAAACCGATTACGTCCGTCTGCCTCTGGATTATATCTGTCCGTTGACCGGAGTACATTAAACACATGAGTTAACTTATTTAAATTACCGTTAATTCTAATTAAAGGTGATGTCTCGAATTTAACTCCATTACGTTTGTCTGTTAGTTATAAGATTCAATTTTAGTTGAGATGATAATTTAACAGGTATTTTTTTTTTTATGCTTATACGTTTTGTTAATTCTGTTAAATGTCATGTCGTTCTCCATACTTCCATGGTTTTCAATAAATGCAGATCCACCATTTACTCACACACACCAACATATACACACAAACTCTCTCCACACACACACACACACAGTTGACACATACATCCAAATCAAACACACACCACACTTATACAACCACACCCTTCAAAACAGCCCGCTCAGTTACCTAATTACCCACCACCCACCCATCACCGGAACAACTCACCGCAATACTTTTTATAATAACCTCAATTAACTCCAGAGAAGATTAACATTCATAATATACTCCTAATCCACCCACAAATCCACACAAAAACCACCCAGGACGTATCCACAGCATGGTTAGCCTCCACCCCACTCCCACACCCCACCACATTACACCCGTCCACACACCCACCCCCAAATCCGCTCATAACATTAAAACAACATTAAAATAAGTCGACATACTGACTCAGGAATGACACATGTTTTCAGAAACCTACCCAGGAGGTGGTGGAAGTTCGGAGGTAGAAGTGTCGGAGGGTAGGAAGTGTCGAAGGTGGTGGGAAGTGTCGGGGTGGTGGGAAGTGTCGGGGTGGTGGAAGTGTCGGGGTGTGGGGAAGTGTCGGGGGTGGGAAGTGTCGGGGTAGGGAAGTGTCGAGGTGGTGGTGGGAAGTGTCGAAGGTGGTGTGGTGGGAAGGTCAGGGAAGCAATGGGGCAGGCGTCGGGGGTGTCGGGGTGGTGGGAGGTCGGGGGTGGGGAAGTGTCGGGGGTGGAAGTGTCGGGTGGGAAGCAGTGGGAGGGAAGGTCGGGGAGCAGGGCGTCGAGTGCTGGGGTGTGGGAAGTGGCTGGCAGGTCATGGGGGTGGAGGTCGGAGGATGGGTGGTGGGAAGTGTCGGAGGTGGTGGTGGGAAGTGTCAGGGGTGGTGGTGGGAAGTGTCAGGGGTGTTGCAGAAGTGTCAGGGGGTGTTGCAGAAGTGTCGGAGGTGGTGGTGGGAAGTGTCAGGTGGTGGTGGGAAGTGTCAGGAGGTGGTGGTGGGAAGTGTCAGGTGGGTGGTGGTGGAGCAGTGTCAGGTGGTGCAGAAGCGTCGGAGGTGTTGCAGTGTCAGAAGTGTCGGAGGTGTTGCGAGGTGTCGAGGTGGTGGTGGGAAGTGTCGGAGGTGGTGGTGGGAAGTGTCGGGGTGGTGGGTGGTGTGGAAGTGTCAGGAGGTGGTGGGCAGGTGTTGCAAGTGTCGGAGGTGGTGGTGGGAAGTGTCGGAGGTGGTGGTGGGAAGTGTCGGAGGTGGTGGTGGGGAGTGGGGTGGTGGGAAGTGTCGGAGGTGGTGGTGGGAAGTGTCGGAGGTGGTGGTGCAGAAGTGTCAGGTGGTGGTGCAGAAGTGTCGGAGGTGGTGGTGCAAGTGTCGGAGGTGGTGCAGAAGTGTCGGAGGTGGTGCAGAGTGTCGGAGGTGGAGGTGGTGCAGAAGTGTCGGAGGTGGTGCAGAAGTGTCGGAGGTGGTGCAGGAAGTGTCGGAGGTGGTGCAGAAGTGTCGGAGGTGGTGCAGAAGTGTCAGGAGGTGGTGGGAAAGTGTCGGAGGGTGGTGGGAAATGTCGGAGGTGGTGGGAAGTGTCGGAGGTGGTGGGAAGTGTCGGAGGTGGTGGGAATGGGTGGTGGGAAGTGTCGGAAGTGTGGTGTCGGAAGTGTCGGAGGTGGTGGTGTCGGGGGTGGTGGGAAGTGTCGGGGGTGGTGGGAAGTGTCGGGGGTGGTGGAAGTGTCAGGGGTGGTGGAAGTGAAGTGTGTCGGGGTGGTGGGAAGTGTCGGAGGTGGTGGGGAAGTGTCGGAGGTGGTGGGAAGTGTCGGAGGTGGTGGTGGGAAGTGTCGTAGGTGGTGGGAAGTGTCGGAGGTAGTGGGGAAGTGTCGTAGGAGCTTGGAAGTATCCGAGTCCTTCAAGAAATTATCAACTTTTTTTTTTTAAAGAATATCCTTCGCCATTACACAAAGATCCTACGGTGGTTGTCCTGGAGATCCTTAACCTCCAATAGCTATACTTAAGGTAAGGTTAATGTCTCGTATCTCAGCGCCGCTCCAGTACACAAGGATGATATCAATCTTGTCTTGGGAGGGATTATTATTCCGGACCATAAAGACAACACGGATGATAAGTCTCAAGACCCACCTTCCGGCTCTTAAAGATGATAATGGCGTTGTCTCAAGACCATGGTAGAAAGGGGTTCATAAGGACCATTCCCT